GTTGACCCTTTGAACTAGTGCTGCAGCATTTGTTTGTACCGCATCGATGAGCTGCCAGCTTGCTCTTTGCTTGTTGGAAGTTCTGCTTTGACGGTTGCGGCGCCCGTCACCTGCACCTGAGGAGGCTGAGGCTTCTGCAGCCTATTCTCCAACTCCTCGTTCTCCTTGCGCAGAGAAGCAAGATCCATACGCTCGCAAAGAGAAAGAAGCACAGCTTCATGTTTGGCCTTGAGCAAGCTGACCTCCTCACTGAAGGCGGAGCTGAGACGCTGCAGCTCCTCGTGCTTGTCAGCAATGATCTGCTGGGTCTGAGCGTGGAGCGCATGCCGGGGGAGCGTCGAAAAGAGTGTGTTTGCGAAAAGAGCGTGCTGAATGAGTGTTGTTTGTGAAAAGAGTGTCGTGCTGAGTGAGCATTGTTTGTGAAAAGAGTGTGCTTAAAGAGCGTGGTGTTCGAGTTCGATGTCAAGAGAGAGTGTGTGTTATGGTTGGGTCCTGGAGGGGAGGTGCGAGCCCAAGGCATCTTTAGCGCATTAGAACTCCTTCTTCACGCTCGCCTGCCATTGGGATTGTATGAGCGCATGCTCCCCCGCCGTCGGGATCGTATGAGCGCATCAGAACTCCCTCTTCAAGCTCCCAAAAGGAGCGCAATACCAGGCAATGGTGGCAGCAATGACACGCCTCCCATGCCTTGCATGCTGGCTCATTGCCAGGTGGAATCTGCTTCCATCTCTCACCCTTCACAGCTGTCTGTTGGAGCACCCTTGCAATGTCAAAGGTCCAGAAGGTTACTGGCAGATGCAAAGATGGCATGCAGCTATGGGCCAACAGGCCAGGGATGAATCTCTCCAACAGCGCTCGTCATTCACCAGATGCTACATCTATCTTCTAAATTCCGCTTTTTGGCCGTTCATACCGCCCGGGACCCTTGCACCTGCTGGGTTGGGCTTGAGAAGCCAAGGCGCAGCAGGATGCAGAGGATGGACGTCTACAACATAGTGAGGTCAGGCCTAGCTCAAGTGGAGGGAAGCGCACCACGCAGAAGAAGCACCATAGCTTCAACAGACCTTGCAGGCCTGCCAGAGTGGGGCAAAGAGCTATACCTGCTTGGACCACTAGTCTGGATAATCCTCCTAGCCTGAGCAACAGCCGCATTGGTAGCAAGGCTGAGAGCTTGAAGACGACAAACAGCAGTTGCATGACTCTTGCATTGCCCATGCTTTGCTTCTTGGCAGGATTGATGTGAGGTCTGGCAAACTTTCTTTGAGCAGATGGCAAGCTAAACAAGTTCAAGTCAGCTTGTGCTCAAGCACAGGAAACAGAGCGCTCACTGAAGAGGGATGAGGCCCATCAGTGTCTGGTCAGAGATGCCAGCACACCTTGCTCAGCGTGAAGTCTTCACAGAGCAACCACCTCTTAAGACCAGGAACACAGTGCGTCTGTCCAATGCCATGTCCAGCCACGCAATGCCGACGCTGGAATTGTCCAAAGAACAGCAGTTCCATGACCTTTGCGTCCCCCATGCTTGGCCTGTCAGCAGGGTTGACGCAAGGTCTGGCAAACTTTCTTTGCGCGGATGGCAAGCTCATTGTCCCAAAGTCATCTCGTGCGCAAGCACAGGGAACGCAGCGCTCTTTGGACGGACTGGCATCACTGCCTGACAAGGAGCCAGTGGACTTTGCACATCCTGGGCCTCTCACCGCGCGACCGCTGTTGGAATCCAGGAATACGGTGCGTCCCTCCACCGCCAGATCGAGCGAAGCTACGCCGACCCTGCAATCGTCAAAACAGTTTGCGCTTGCCCCGCATGACCAATCGGAGGGTCAGCGCATTCCTTTGGCGGAACCAGCCAACCTGCCGTTCCCGGCTGCAGTCCCCGAGGCGCAGCCAGGACGAAAGCGTGACCGGAAGTCGAAGGCCCCTCGCAGGCCCGCCAAACTGGGGGAAGGATCGATACCTGCTCGGACTACTAGTCTGAGCAATCCCCCCAGCCCGAGCAACAGCCGCAGCAGAAGCGAGGCTGGAAGCTCGAGGACGCTGAGCGACGCTAGTTTCACCGGCAGCGAATATAGCGCCAGATCGCTCGGTGTCGGCGAGCACTCGGTTGACAGCGTCGAAAGCGCTTCCAGATCCGGCTCTGCAAATTTGCCCTCGCCCAAGGCGAAGCGGTTTGCGGATCGCATCCGCAGCAGAGTATCAAGCCTTGCGAGCGTACGGAGTCGTCGACAGAGCTCGAAGTCTGCTTCTGAGCACGACGGGCTGAGCGAGCAAAAGTCTGCGTTAGTCTGGTGTGCTGGTGTTGTGTGTGTGTGTGTGTGTGTGTGTTTGACCAGCAAGAGTAGAGCAAGTTGAAGACAGTGGGCATGTCCTGCAGTCAGCCACCAGTAAGACTGCTATGAAGGAACTAGACAAAGTCAGCACCAAAGTTGGACAGCACAGATGTGAGTTGCTTCAACCAACAGCACAAAGCACGGTACTTGTTTGCGCGCAACGTTCTGCGGAAAGCGAATTTGCAGGTGCCAGGAGCTGGCTCGGGCGTTGTAGTTGAAGGACCGACCAAATCTGAGGGCTGGTGAGCCATGGAGCCCCTCTTCAACATGGACCCTTTCCAGGCAGGGCTGCTAGCAGGCCAAATCTGGCACAGGTTTGATTGCCAAATGCGCACACCTTGGCTGATGTAGGTGACATCAAGCAAAATGCAAGCATAACAGAACCTTCAATGGCACCGCGTGGCAGCAGCAGCTTTGCGCTTGCAATGCATGCAAAGTTCTGACTAAAGCTGTATGATAGAGCAGCTCACTGGCAGGAATGACCATCACAGCAAACACAAGCCTTGTGTAGAGCAAGACTTGCCACCCTAGTTGTGTGATGCGCTCACTTTGATGATCATGCAGCTGGTTCATGGCTGCTCATGGCTCCAATTGGAATGGACTCAGAAGCAGTTTTGGTCTGTTCAGCAAGAGATTGAGCCCGTGGACACAATGCTTGTGTGATTCCAGCGCAGCGCGCAATGTGAAGGTCTTGAGGGAGTCTTGCTCTTGAGACACACAGAGTCCCTTGGTGGTCATCTCCACATCGCGAATGCGAACAGAGCGGGAAACCAGTGCGCTCCCCAATCTGTATGCTGGTCTCTACTCGCATGTCTCTTCCTGCTACCTTTGCCTCGCCAAATTGTCCGCAGGCTTGGTGCTCAGATGCGCCTTTGCACTTAGGGTAAGCACGAGTGGGGCCACTCCTCCCAAGCTCAGGTGGCAGAATGCTCCGGCTGGGCCTGGTGCATTGCTACACAAGCTCTCTCTCCTTTCAACCCACTCCTGTCAGCTTTCACAATGCACAAGCGGCTGCTGCAGTGCGGTGTTGGTCAGCAGCTTGATGCCAGAACCCTCCGATGGCCCCTCAAGCTCCTCCTGTTGCCTGTGCTTTTGCAGCAGAGTTTGAAAAGCTGCGTACAGCTTGCTGCCGGGCACACGCAATGACGCCACTGGCAGGCACGAGGGGCTAGTGGTGGGAGATACCTTTGGTGAAGGTGCTCCAGAAGGGCCAGCAGAGGACCCGGGGTCCTGTGTAGCGGGCATGCCCAACGGCTTGTAGGGAGGGATTGGGCGAGGCTATGTTGGAAATGTGGATCGAGCAAGTCAGGGTCAGCCACTACAAAACGATCGCTTCGAGGTAATTGGACGATGGAGTGGTACTTACCTGAAGAGCCGCATACAATTTCACCCCGCGCAGCTTGCTGCCGGGCACGCGCAATGACGCCACTGGCAGGCGCAAAGGGCTTGTGGTTGGCAAGGTTTGCAAAGCAGGTGCGGCAGATGGTGGTCCAGACCCAGAGCCTTTGGCGACCGGCATGCCTGATGGTTGGAAAGAGGGAATAAAAGAGGGAATACAACGAGGCTGTGTTGGGAATGTGGAGCGAGCAAGTCAGGGTCAGCCACAACAAAGGTAACATCGACGGCACCGGCAGCAATGGGAAAGCAAACAAGTGATGGTGAATGCCGAGGGAGACAACATTGATTTGTTTCAAGAGAGAGGGGGCAACCTCTTTGCGGACAACAACAGCCACAGAATCAGAGCAGCCACTTCTCAAGCAATACTCACAACCTTTGAAGGTGTTGCGGGAGATGTCTTCTTGGCCTGGTGCAGAGCCCAACTCTGCTGGGCAAGCAGGGTTGACTGTTGCGGGGAAGCCCCAAAAAATGGCTCCATGGCTGTCAGGCCAAGACTTGCCATTTGCTGCTTGGCGACCTCCACCTCGCTGGGTTTGGGCTCTTCTGAGCTTGCCCACTCATTGGACAGGTCAAAGCTTGGTGAGTCATTTGTGGGGTTTGACATGTTGGACATTTTGCAAGATTGTGTTGGGAGCAATTTGGGATGAGTGGGGGAAGGCAGGATTGATGAGTGCGCTTGTGACTTGACTGGTAGCGCCCTGCACTGTGCGAATGGACTTTGATACTCCATCTTGCTTGCGTTGTGACCAAGTCATCCACATCCACCAGAAGTTGATGATGGGAGCCTACACTGGAGTTCTGATTGTACCCTGCGCTGTGCAAACAGACTTCAGTGGTCCATGTTGCTTGCATTGTGACAAGCTCATCCCCAGCCATAAGAAGTCCACAACGCATCTCTCAGCAATGTCATTGGTGGCTTTCCCACTCAAGGCGCACCCTCAGCAGCTCCAGCTGATCTTGCCTGGCTCCATACAAGTGAAGCAGCTTGTCTGGGGCAACAAGGTTTTTGAGAGCAAGCTCCACCAGAATGGCATCCTGAGGAGACATGTGCCGCTCGTTGTTGGTGAAGTTGCGCAATGAGGTCCAGGCAGACGACCACCACTAGACATGTTCACACACTTCCAAGCCCGCCGCCTATGCCACGTACCCGTCTAGGTACGTACCACTCTGACTTTGACGTGCATTTAGCTGCAGCTTCGAGTCGATGCATGCATTCACGCGAGTCTTTCTCCCGCATCGCATCGCCGGAAGCGCGCGCAGTGGGATGCGAGCCAGGAGGATCAGAAGAATTGAAGCGCAAATTGTGAAAAATTACGGATCCAAATTCAGACGCGAAATCTCCCTCCACTCCTCATCACCAGCCTTCTGATTCATCGTCGCGAGTCTGCTTTGCTGCGACCGATACGACGTCACGCTCCACGCTGAAGCTGCTCTACAGGTCAAGCAAAGCGCTCACTCCTCTTTCAAGATGTCGTCCTTCGAATCCTGGCAGTCTCCATTGGCGGGGTGAGTTCGGCTGGCAGGCAAGGTGTTCTGCAGCGATCAAGCTGACTGCTCTGCTGCTGCTTGCGCATCTATTCTCCCACTCCCTCAGGCGATACGCCTCCAAAGAGATGTCTTTGCTCTTCAGCAATGCCACACGTTTCTCGACTTGGCGCGAGCTTTGGCTCAACTTGGCCATTGCAGAAAAGGAGCTTGGTCTGCCCATCCCGGACCAAGCTATCGCTGAGATGCGCGACAATCTGAAGCTGAACGAAGAACAGATGAAGGCGGCTGCTGAAGAGGAGAAGAAGAGAAGGCACGATGTCATGGCTCATGTGCATGTGTTTGGCACCGTCTGCCCCACTGCCGCGCCTTTTGTTCAGTGAGTGATAGGCACATCGGTGGATGGGTTCGGAGGGGCGGGAGCAGCAAAGAGGCTAGGAGCTCACCAGCACTCCTTGCGACAGCTTGGGCGCTACTTCGTGCTACGTCACCGATAACGGTGAGTAAGCCGAAGCAGAATGGAAGACTTCGGAGCTCGCTGCTGAATGGACTGCAATCCATGCTCCTCTCCCAGCCGACTTGATTTTCTTGCGTCGTGGGCTGGACATACTCCTTCCCAAGCTGGCTCTCGTCATCCAGCGTCTGTCCACCTTTGCAGAGAAGTACAAGTCATTGCCTACACTCGGCTTCACCCACATGCAGCCTGCACAGCTCACCACAGTGGGCAAGCGCGCCACGCTGTGGATTCAGGAGCTGCTCTGGGACCTGCGCAACATTACTCGCGCTAGGGAGGATCTGGGTTTCAGAGGCGTGAAGGGCACGACGGGTACGCAGGCCAGCTTCTTGCAGCTCTTTGATGGTGATCACGATAAAGTGGAAGCGCTGGATGAGAGGGTCACGCAGCTGTTCGACTTTCCTTACGCCATGCCCGTCACCGGACAGACCTACAGCCGCAAGGTCGACATCGATGTCCTCTCGCCTCTAGCGTCATTTGCAGCCAGTGCCACCAAGATGGCGACTGACATTCGGCTGCTGTGCCACCTGAAGGAGATTGAGGAACCCTTTGAGAAGGATCAGATTGGTAGCTCGGCCATGGCGTACAAGAGGAACCCTATGAGGAGCGAGAGGGTTTGCAGTTTGGCGAGGTGGTTGGGCAACATCCTTCACAATGCTCACGAGACGGCTGGCGTGCAGTGGATGGAGAGGACCTTGGATGATAGGTGAGTCGAACGGGATGCAGGGACAAGACGGACCAGGCGATGGAGAGCCCAGGCGTGGAGCGGGTGACCCTGGCTGGCGGCGAGCTGACGAGCGCCCCTCCCGCTTGCGCCTACCGCAGCGCCAACCGCCGCTTGACCATTCCCGAGGCATTCTTGACTGCCGACGTTCTGCTCACGCTGCTGCAAAACATCAGCGAGGGCTTGGTCGTCTATCCAGCCATCATTGCTCGCCGGATCGCTGGCGAGCTGCCGTTCATGGCTACCGAGAACATCATCATGGCAATGGTGCGAGCAGGGGGTGACAGGCAGATTTGCCATGAGAAGATCCGGGTGTTGTCTCACCAGGCGGCTAGCGTGGTCAAAGAGCAAGGGGGAGAGAACGATCTGATAGATCGAGTCAGGAAAGACGAGTACTTCGCACCTATTCACGCGAAATTGGACTCGCTTTTGGACCCTAGGAGCTTTACAGGACGGGCCGAACAGCAGGTGGATAGCTTTTTGCAGAAGTGGGTCGAACCGGCTCTCCAGCCGTACAGGGAAGGATTCAAGAATGCCAAGCAGGCTGATCTGGCGGTGTGATACGACGGCTTGTACGCGGATAGACAAGGGCGAAATTCAAAAGGGCTGCGACTTTTCAAATGCCAATCGGATTACATGCCGCCTCGTCTAAGTACGCACGCAGCGCACTCGCTCAGAACCCAAGAACGTTATTCTCGGGCTTGTCACATGTCCGCACTGCAGAACAAGGGTAGTCAGTAGTCAGAAAGGTGTGTCGTTCATGGTGCGGATCAAGCGTTGAGGCCTCGAGACCATGTGAAAACTAATGTGCAAGGCAGGTGTGTGCGAGCTGGGAGCCGAGTGAGTTGATAATTCTCTAGCATCGTCAACAGCAGCAGGCGTCTAGTCGGCAGCGGTTGGCCCTCTTTCAATAGTCGAAAGTGTCCGAGAAGCAGCAGATCTGCTCGAATAATGAGGACCCCGGCGATATGAAGAACGTTTGCATCGTATGCCTCCACAGGACTTCAGACCATTCCGAGACCAAACGCTCAGGTCATGGGTAGCACAGCTCGTCACTCACTGCACTTTCGATCTCAGGCAGCACGTATCGCGATCAGGCCTGGCAGTGTGTATTGCGATCAGAATTCAGAAGGTGAGCCTGTCCGGCGAGGTGCATTTGCGAATGTTGGTGCTGGATCGCGATTCCGAAAGCTGTTGTGGAAATCGCACGAAGGAAGACTGCAGCTACTCGGAAGGAGCAAGTGCACTTCGACTTTTCGACTGCACACGCTCTCGCCTTTCTCGCTTCAACGCCCCGCCTCACAACGCCATGCACGTCTTTCGACCTTCCAAATTGAACAACACGATCAGCAAGAGCGTTTTCCTTATAACTTCCCAAAGGGTTTCGGAGGAATTCAGAAGTCTAGGATAGCGTTGTCCGGGACGACAAATTACCAGGGACGCAAGACCGGTAGCCCGTACCCGAGACTGTGCACTCTCAACGCCCAGAATCAGGTGTGTAGCCAGCGCCACATCATTCGATTCCTAGGGTCACCTAGCAATTGAGTACGCACAGAGGTCTACGTGCACACCGGCGCCTGCTTCCACTTTGAGAGTGCGCCGAGCACACAGGCAGTCCATCAAAAGTGCATGGACCCTGACTGGTTCACAAGAGCAGATCGCAACATCTCTGTCACAACCAGCAACGAGCCACATCTCACTGCCCGCATCACGCTGCAGTTGCTCGAACAGCTCTTTCGTCTCGGAGTTAACAGCGTGACTTATGAGCAGCGAGGAAGGGGAATTGTGCGCCAAATGCAACACTTAACGCAGATTTTACCCCCTTGCTTTGCGGTTTCGGGCTTCTACGCGCTTAGAAATTCCGACCGCTGTAGGCGATACCTCAGCGGCTCGGGCCCGCTGAGTCGCTGCCAATAGGTGCGCAAGTGTGAGTCGAGTAGTCTTACCGGTCATGGGGAGCCTTCTGCTGTGCATGAGCCTCTCACCCTTCAGATCCAGTTCTGCACGTCAAGCGCCTTGGCCTTCAGTGCGGGCGAAGTAGATCGATGCTACAGCGGCAGTGCGATTGTGGTCACGTCTCGTCACTCGGCCATTAGCGCGTTTGCCTGAGGTGGCGTATCCGCACCCGCGACTAACGTGACCGCTCGAGGCCAAATTATGGACACACTCGCCTTTCAATCAAGGCACTACTCAGAATGCGCAAGATGGCCTGTACTGCTCGGCAGTTGGAGCTTGGCAGGCCGGTCAACAGCTACATCTCAGGATCCTGCATGAAGCAATTTCGAGTCTGCCAGTGTCTGCAGATCTGGCATGTGGCGTTCGAGCTCCGAACATGCTTCTGATCTGCTGGTCGTCAGCGGTCAGAAATGTTTCGTTCCCGGCAAGAAAGGGCACTCTGGTGGCAGAACAGCCTGGCATTGGATTACGCGGCCTATCAAGCCCCGCCGCCACTTTGACGAAGCGGTCCGGGAGCAAGTCTGAGCAAATCATCAATCAAGCATTCGTTTGTGATTGCACAGAGGCTCAAGTACGCCATCAATCGTTCGGGAGCAAGCGCTGAGACTTACACAGGCGACACATATCGAAGACAGTCTACGATCCATGACGCCCTCCAAGCATGCCTGGCAGCATTGCGTGACTACGATGCAGATTAGGGGAGCCCTTCTTAATCGTAAGTACCACTGCTTAAGTGCTGCTGTGTTTCCTTTCGCATGCTGTGGCGCAATAAGCGCTCTTTCGATGCGGGACCGCCGTGACGAACTCCACAAAATGCTCAATCACGCCATACATTCGATATCCTCATGTGTCGGTAGCTCCTTGGGCAAGCTCGCTCACGACCACAACTACTCGTCGTGCTTTGGGGAAAGGCGTTTCCTCTGAAGATGCGTATCTCAGGCGAGTGATGGAATGATTTGGCAACGCAGGCGCGCGGACCGTCGACTACTACCTCCCACAGGTCTTATCTCCAGGGCGCTGTAGAAACCGTCGAGCGCAGCAAGCGGATCGGTCGCTCGCACTGCTTGCAAGGAAAGGGTTGGTGATGAGCGTGGCTCAGAGACCGAGCCATACGGGCTCTGCACAGTATGTGTCACTGCGATCAATCGCATGAGTGTTTCATACCCGTTCATGGGCATCACAGTAACGTCGCATAGAGTCGTCACCGGGTCACCAACCAGCGCCAGCTGTTCCGGCCTTGGCGGAATTCTTGCTCTTTGTGATTCTTTCTTCAGTGGTCAAGGAGACAGTATCACCGGGAAGGGGATGGGCGGCAGCTGCACAAATAGACACTCTCTTCCGGATCTAGAGATTGCTACATTGATCGACACCGACAGTTATGCCGACATCCATCCTCCGTCATTCCTGATACGGTGTGGTGTGGGACTTGATCGACTCCAACTCCGACGACCGCAGCTCCACCATCCCGGCTCAAACTGGGCCGATGGTAGTCGTGTTCGTGCCGCTTCTACCAAGCAAAGCATACCATGCCTGCTGGGTGTCCGCGCGGATCCGAAATATTGCGCCTCGCGCGACCATTTCCCTTTACGATTACAGCACCGCGTTGACCGCTGATTGGCGCACTCGGCACTCGCAATTTGCCAAACATCAACTTTGCAAGGCACCGCCGCCTCGTCTTGCTGAGCGTTCCGATTCCCCAAGGTGTTGGGTTTCTATTGGTGTCCGCCATCAAAAGCGAGGCTCAGAGGATGCGTAGGAGAGTCCGCAAAGACAGCTTGCCGACTGCCGCCTGCGGACCGCGCGAGCAAGTTCGGCGTCAATTCCGCCAACACTTGGCGAAGCCATGCGCAGCCTCCTCGACGCATCAAACGACTCGCCCTTGACTGCGCGGCCTGAGAGGTGGCAGTGGCACTCACGAGTTTCGAGGCGATGTGACTGTTCGTCGTTCTCCTCGCGACTAGGTGGCCGCTCTGTGCCAAGCTCGTCGGCCCGCTATAAGAGCGAGGTCAGCGAGGACTGCCACAGTGGCATCCGAGAGGCCCCATAGCGCCCTCATTTCCGCCCACCATCATCGCGCTCGAAGCTGGCCTTCCTTTTGTCGCCACCCGATCTCCCCATTCTCTCAAGACACCTTCGTTAAATATCCAAAGCTGGTCTTGGGTATCCCCTTCTACTCGAGACTCTCATATCCCCCCCGCCCTAGCCGTGCCGGCACTGGCTGCCTCGCACCTCATACTACACATTTTCTCTCGTCGCGCACCGTGTGTGCGCGCGCCTGTGACACATAGTCTATAAAGATGAAAGTCGTTGGCACTTCTTTGCTCTTCACGCTGTGGCTACACTTGATTTATGCTGCCCCTGTCCCTCTTCTCCAGCAAAGCATCGACGCGGTCGACCCCTTGCTGCAACGTCGTTCGTCCCCCATCGAGGACGACGATGCAGACCATGCATCCTCCAACGTAGCTCGCGATGCAGCTCCTAGCTACTCCTCCCCCTCCTCCTCATCCGCTCTGGTGCCTCGCGACGATGGAGTCCTCTTGGAGAAGCGCCTAGGCGGTCTTGTGAGAGCAGCATCATTTGGAAGAAAGGCTGCCACGCCTACTGGCGTCGGTACCACTCAATTTAGCGACGATGTGGCCAGACAGTCTCTCAGCCGATTCGGCAACAGCGGCAAGGGTCTGTGAGTACGGTGTCAAAGGCGTCCGTTGAAGGTGTCAGAATTGTTGTTCCTTTGTGGCTGACCCACACACCCTTGTCGGCCAATCGCGAGCAGAAAACGAGCTGCCGCTGCAGCGCTCTTCACCGCTGCAGCTGCCGGCACTTACATTGGTCTGACGAATCGCGACAAGAAGAAAAAGCAAAAGAAGTTGCAGAAGCAAAATCCACAATTCCAGCAGCAAGCCAAATCGCTATACGGGTCGGAGGGTGGCAAGAAGAAAAAGTCTTCAAGTATGTTTGGCTTCCGCCGTCGAAGCCTGTCCAGCGGCGATTCTCCTCACTCTGACTCGGATGAGCAGCTCGAGAAGCGCCTAAATGCGCCGATCATGCGCGGAGCTATGACCAAGCTTAGCACTGCTGGCAGCAAAGTCGGTGGCGCGGGCACCAAAGTCTTCAACAAGACGAAGACCAAGATGGCATGGAAGAGGACCGCAGTGTGAGTGCAGGGCGAAGCCATGGGGAAAGTGACACTGGGCCGTAGCTCTCACGATCGGTTTCCTCCAGTGCAACGACTTTGGCAGGTGGTGCCATCGGCGGCGGTACTTATGCTGCGTACCACTACGCCATAGAAGCCGACAAGAAGCAGCATGCAAGACAGAAGGCTGCTTACGATGAGCAGAAGGCGGAGTACGATGAGCTCGCGAAAGCTGCCAGACAAACCAAACGCGATCTTCCCGAGGAGCACGTTGACTTGATCCACCGTCGTTCAATTGGACAAGATATCTCCGACGATGGCCACAGCGCCGCACATCTCGAGAAGCGTCTCGGCGGCATCACGAGGGCCATCTCTCGTTGGGGGACCAAGAGCAAATCTGCGTACCCCGAGCTGAAAGAGACGAGTCTGAGGGCCTCTCCTTCGGCTGGCAAGTGGCGCGCTGAAGGTTGGAAGGCCAAGGCTACGTAAGTCCCGCCCCAGATCCGAATCCCAAGCTTAAGATCGCAATCCTCAGCTCATAACTGGCACTTCTTGCTTTGGCATCTCTGTCCTTCTTAGTGGTGGCGTGCTCGGCGTGGGTATACTTGGCGGCATAGGATATGGCACCTACAGACTGGAAGAGGCCCAGAGGAAGGCTTGGAAGAAGGACGTGAAAGATCTGCAAAAGCTGCATCCCGCTGGTCGTCGTCGGACCCTTCCCGATGAGTCGGTCGCCTTGATCGATGATAGGTCTATGCATCAGGACATTCCTGGCCCGGTCAATGTCGCCAATGAGCCCAGCGCTCGCCTCGAGAGACGTATCGGCGGCGTCACCAAGACCATGATGTATTTGGAGAAAAACCGCAGTGCCTCCGACATATCAAGACAGGCGAGCCTCGGCACAACTTCAAGCTTTGGCAAACCTTCAAGTCTTAGCACAACTTCGAGCCTCAGCAAGTCTTCGAGTCTCGGCAAAAGCTCTGCCGCTGAGAAAAGCCGTACTGGGTGGAAGACCAAGGCTGCGTGAGTCTAATCGATGCGACGTTCGGCGCTCTGCTCAGGAGCTGATGTCAATGTCCTCGCTCGTTCAAATCTTGCCTAGCGCCGTCACCCTTGGCCTTGGTCTGCACGGCGCCGCTGGCTACGGTATCTACAAACTTGTTGATGCTGCTACGTCCACTGGCTCGGCGGAACCGAAGAAGCATCAGCGTCGCGATGTGTTCCAAGAGTCGCTCGGCTTCACCACTCGCTCCATCACGGAAGCTGTTCCTGTTGACGTTGCGTCTGATCTCACTCTCGAAAAGCGTAGACTGCCATCGCTATTCAAGTTCGGCAAGTCCACCAGCATCGGAGGGAGTAGTTTGGCCGCAGCCGATACCAGGAACGTTGCAACTTCGTCTAAATGGCGCGATAGAGCGTAAGTGCCATTTGCGCGCCAGGTCGTACGAGGAGAGTTGCGAAATGACTGACGTGGCATTGCTCCTGCTTCGACTCGCCTCTCCACGCTCTGTAGTCGTTACGGTCTGGCGATCGGCGGGGGCGTATTGACAGGTGTTGGGCTCTGGCGCCTCAACAAAGCGGTGATCGAGTCGAAGGAGAAGAAGAAGAGCAAAGACAAGAAAAAGTTGAAGCTGCGCAGCCTGCCACCGGTCGCCGGGGCTGAAGAGCTGGGCGCTCGCGAAATCCAACAAGCCATCGATGCAGACAAGGTCCAAAAGTGAGCTGGTTCTTACTATGGTCCTTCGAACGCCAACTTCCAGCCACCTTCTCCTGTAATTGCCTTTTCCCCCCTACAATATATTAACCTTCAACCCCTCTTCTCTCTTTGATGACCATGTTCCTAGCACTCACCTTGTGAAACGCTGGAACGAGGTCGATGCAGGACGCAACTCGGCGCAGACAACTTTCAACGAGGCACAAGACTGGAAACGGGGTACGCATACCGGGAACGAGGGCGTCGCTAGTAATGTGTGCGTTGCGAGCTGGCTCCCGTGCGCGCTGATGGTCTTCGCGCAACACCCTGTTCACTCTGCACGCTTCTTACCTTTGCCCAGGCCAAGCGCCGATCCGCATAGGTGAGTCAAGAGGTGTCCCCCAGACTATTTGCCGAAATTGGCTGATAAAGCGTTCCATTTCTCAGTGGATCGCTCGAACGTCGCGCAGGCCAAGACAGCTCGTGGAACCAAAATACCCGACCCTTGAAGAAAGCGCGCACAGAATCGTCGAATGGCAAGGCATCGGCTCGGACGACTTTTTCAAACACAATCTCCCAGCGCCCCGCATCGATTTCGAAGTTGAGTGGAGTCGCTCAAACGAGTCAACCCCTTGATTCGAACGGCATGCCGCTCAAATCGAGCTTACGAAGTCGACGTGGCTTCGCAACCTTGCAGGTCAACACAGAGCCCAGCCAGCCTCTTGATCCGAACGGCATGCCGCTCAAATCGAGCTTGCGAAGTCGGCGCGGCTTCACGACGCTGCAGGTCAACACCGACAAGCCGAAAACACCGGCACCTGACTCGCTGCGAAGGGAAGGCAGCAGCGTGACCTTCAATTTGCCCGAAAGCCTGCCCAGCTCGCCCGATATCCGAGATAGCCGGCCTGACAGTCCGGATCCTCTAGCGGCGGCCAGAGACCGGCGAGACCGTCTGCGCGCGTTCCATGCCAGCGAGTTCGAAAAGTATCGCAAGCATCCTGGAGTCGTGTACCAATTCGATGCGCATGGCAAGCGGCAGAGCAAATGGCTGGGAGAGGGTGGAAAATGGCCCGAGAAGAAGATCCTGGGTATGAAGAGACCGTGGGCCATTGGACTTGGTACCGTCGCATCCCTTGCGGTCGGCGGCGCACTGATAGGAGTGGGCGCGCACGAGTCGCGGCGCAGATCTTCTTCCGAAGAGATTCCTCCGTCCGAGCTGTCCCTGATGCGAAGAACGATCCACGGTAGTGTGACGCCACATCCTCACCCGCATTGCTCGTATAAAGCAGGCTCGTCTGCGGGTCTGTGCCCAAGTCAAGCAGAAGCTAGTCGCGATGTCTTTGTGGTGCAAAGAAGGGGACTCGTATTCCGCTCCATGATTCCGCAATTCGTGCTGAGTGAGTAGTTGGTTGCTTGGCGCGGCGACTCTTGCTCCTTGCTGACCATTCCCCAATCATGCCCTTGCCCGGGTCAGGCAAGGACTCTAGAACCAGTCTCATTAAGCGCGTACCTAGACCTGAAGATGGTTTCGTGACGGCGCCAAGCTCGCCTATGAATAGCCCTCCTTCCAGCCCTGAAGGTGGGGTCAACGAGCACGCCGCCGAGTTCAAGGGTATGCTGCAACAAGCAGCAAACCTAAAGTCGACCCAGCGTAAGCCTGCCAAGTTCACCAACAAGCCGGGACAGTCCAAGTGGGTGCAAAAGACGATGCCGGCATCGGAATTCGTCTTTACTGCAGGAGGGTCTTCCAAATCAGCAGGTGCAGCTTCCAAAGGGGCGGCGTCGACGGTGCAGAAGAAGCCCGCCTTTGTCTTCACAAGCGCAGCGCTTCCAAAGACCGAGCCAGGCAAGAAGACAGGCAAAGGTGCGCTTCGAACGAGAGTGCGCGAGTCCGAGACAGCCACTGATGCGAGGGTGCGTTTCACGATATCGCGAGCAGCTGCAGCAATGTCGCAGCCTCCACCAAGCATGACTCGATTTGACAAGGGCAAAGCGCCGATGCAGACGGAAGCCAGCACTAGTGGGGTGAAATCGCCAGAGATCCGACCCGCGACTCCCTCGCCGCCAAGACCGTCGTACAACTCGGCCAGGAGTCGCACGGCATCCTTTAGAACCACTCCGCGCTCGCCAGACCAGTTCGATCGATGGATGCGGGCCAACAAACCGTTCATGACGAAGGAAGAGTACGACAAAGTCAGGCCAAGCAGAAAGTGGAAGGGCCGTGTTGGCAAAGCAGCGCTGTGAGTAGCATGGCCAGATGGTGCTCGTTTCATTGCGTCGCTCGAGCGTCGTGCACTGATGTCGACTGGACTCTCCTCTTCCAGCGTATCGGGCGTGGCTGGTGTCATCGGCTACGGAATTTGGGATTTGGACCGCTTGATCTCCTCTGAGAATTGAAGAATGTCGCGAGTTGCTTCGCGGACTGACGAGCAAAGAATGCGTGTGCTCATAAGCTTATGTGCATCTGACTGTACCGAGTCGAGCGCTCTCCTCGGGCTTATTGTATATCTGCGCTGCCTTCGAATGCATGTACAGGGTTCTCAGGTTGGCGTGTACCCCATTCTTGTACTTGTCCTAGGGTGGAATTGGAAGCCGCAATATGATGATGTGCGACGTGCGACGTGCGCGCGCGCTCTGCACCAGTGCCAGTGTGAGGCTGCACCTGACTGAAGTGGAAGGGCTGTCCCAAGCCCATGTAAGGGCGCCCAAGCTTTGAGCTCGAGGAGCATGGTGGTGCATGGCCAATGTTGAGCTTTGTCGGACGACCGCGCGAAGGCGTGGGGAGAGTCGCATACATCTAGCCAAAGACGAGCCTCGTCGGACGATCGCGCGAAGGTCCGAGCAGAGGCGCATACATCTAGCCAAAGACGAGCTCCTCGTCAAAGAGCTCGATGAACTGCGAGACGGCAAGAGAGTAAGCGCAAGAGCACCCCCTTCGCAAGAGCCTCTTCTTCTTCGACAAGGCAGCTCCGAGCAGCCCGACTGACCTGCTCATTCATGACTCTGACCTTTTGCCCAGCATACCTCCTGTACTCTTCCAAGATGGCGCTAAGACACCACCTCTGCAGCTTCCTCAAGCAGCCAATGACGGTGCCCGTGCGATGTCTTCCCAAGTTGCACATGACCAGCACAGGGTATGTGCTGGGCTGTACTAGCAGATGCAGCGCTTGCAGCACCACATCTTCGGTGATGGGATCCCAAGCATTCGTGCTGTAGAGCACTCCCAGGTGATGTAGCTGGATGCTGTGAGCCGCACAAAAGTCCAAGCTGTGTAGAGGGGG